AAAAAAAAAAAAAACAAATAACTACTAAGTGAAGAAATGAAGAATAAAGAAGCAAAGAAAAGCAGTGCACCAAGAAGATTACCAATTTTATTTTTGTATCAAACGCTCAAACACTCTTTACTTTTTTGAAACTGGTTGACTATAAACTAAAAAAAAAGTTTCTTTGGTTTTGTATTCTTACTCACTTTGTTATAAAGTAATAATAAAACAGATAAAAGAGAGAAGTAAAAATGTAAAGATTAGTTAAGAGGAAAAAAATGCAGAGAAGTGATTACTGTTACTAAATTGTAGTTTCTTAAGGTTTTTGGTGGGATAAAGAAGGGATGAAGAAAAACAAAAGTGTAAAAAACCAACAACTTATTTTTTCATTTAACACTTTTTTTTATCTTTTTCCTACAACAGTTTTACCATTTTTTTCTCTTATCAAAAAACTAAGAACAGAAAAACTGTAGGAAAATTTCCTGCGAGTTGCTTTAAATGCTGAGATAACGACGAACATTAAAAAATGTGCATTGAAAATGGCTTTCAGATTTACTCATTAAAAAAGTGCTGACGAGGAATCATTTGTGGGTTAAGGCACTGAAAGATAGATCAGATTTTCCTCCAACTGTACAACATAAATTTTCCAGTCTTAAAGCATATTTCTAACGCGGTATACAGATAAAGTTTTTTTGCTGAGTAAATATTATCTAATTTTTGCATGCATAAACACATGTTTGATAATTGAGTTTCAATATAGCAATATTGGTGTTGATTTAACGTGGTTCTCTATTTTAGGCTGCTGCAAATCATTATTTAATTATCCTAACGATAGCTGACAGTATATTTTTGATCGGTTTATTGCTGATACTGTTTAAGCTGGATTTTGTATATGAATTTTGTCTTGCAATTGAGTATGTTCTTGGTACGTCTTCATATGTTAGCAGTTGGTCAATTGCTGCATTGACCATTGAAAGATATTTGGCTCTGGCAAAACCCTTCCAAGTTTCCACAACGGTACTGTTATTAATTTCAGCCATTCATTTTTTCCTTTTAATCGAGATTTGACTTTGATTGTCATCAACAGAGCAGTTTCCTACAACAATTTTTTGACTTCAAAAAATGTAATTTGACAAACTATGGTTTACTGAATCAGTTGTTTATCAATATTCACAAGTTGCTGTTTAGTAAAACCTTGAAAACGAATTTGTTATTTTGGTTAAAAATTTCTTGTAATAATGATATAAATAACACAAAATTTTTTGATCTGCTGCTGTTGTTGCTGTTGTTGAAACCGTAATCATTAAATAGAAACTTTTAAAAGATGTTCATTCATAAGTTGTCCTCTTTCTTGTTGAAAGTGTAAAAATCAAAAATTTTTATATAATTTATTTATTCTATTTTTTTCTATGTTTTTTTTCTTGATACTAATGAAAAAGTATTTAGCTCTCAAATTTTTTTGAAGTTTTAGATATCTTGCAAAAGTTTATTCTGTTCACTGTAACAATCAGTTGATTAGTTGTGCTATTGCCAAATTGCTTCTATTATCTATGTTCATCTATATTTATGGTAACCTCTTTGAAAAATTGAGGAAGAAAAGCTATCAATTACATTTTTTTTCCTGTGTATATGAGTTTTTTCTGCTCGTTTGTATAAGCCTTTGCTTAACAATGAACGAATATTTGGTAAAATGAAAGAGCAGTGACTGAAAGAATTAATTCTTGTTCACACAATATAGATTTAAACTTTTTATCTTGTTTTTTAAAAAATTGTAGACGACAAGAAAGATTTCTACTGAATTAAGGAATACTCTTGATAATGGTACTGTTAGTGGTGGTGATTACACTGGTAATGATGATGGTGGCTATTAGTTGTGTTGATGACGGTGGTGAGGAGTAGATGAGAAACTGAAGTGTTTAGACGGGTTGGTGAAATATGATATCTGCTCAAATTCTTCTTAGGTTTCTTTACTAAATCATCTTAAAGTTCGAGTGTCGATATCTTATCAGCAAATTTATAACAAAAAAACGTCAAAAACACATCTAAATCAAGCTGATTATTGTCTTCTTTGCTGTTTTTGATTACCATTGTTAAAGAAAAATAAATAAATAAATAAAGAACGGGTTTCTTATTTGTTTGCTTTGCTTTGGTTTTACTTTGGCACCATTCAATTTTCTTAAAACTGCAAATTTTATCATTGTGATAAAAATAAAATAAGAAAAAACAAAAATTAAAAACTGAAATCATTGACTGTTCACCATTATTCAAAAAGTTTGTCAATAGACGTTCTTTTTCTCAACAAATTTCACTTTCCACTGCCACTCCTCCTGCCAGTGTCTTCCTCTTCTCCAGCTTTCCCATCTTCTTCGTTCAGACTGGTCGCGACAATTGACAATAGCAAAAGAAAAAAAAATGCTTTACTGTAGCTTGTCTTTTTTCTATCCTTTTTTGAACAGTCTGTTAAACTGCGACGAAGACTGCACAGCAAACAAAAAATTTTTCGCACACATTGTAGCAGATAACCGCTAAATTATTTAGCTTTCTAGACTTAGCGTTTATTTTAAAATCGACAGAATATTGTTAAGAAAAAAATTATTTTCAGTAATGAAAACACTAACATAAAAGATGGAATTCTTCTTTTTCTCTCCTAGCGGAAATGGGGAAGGTGAAGCGGAGGGAGGAAAGTTTGCCTTAGAAAATTTTAGCCAACAATTAAGAAATAATAAACTGCGCGTATGACAGTATATTGACCAATGGTTTTTGCTTTTTGAATTCATTAGCATCATTTGTCAGTCACCGTAAAATGTGAATTCATCAGGAAATCAAAGTTTAGGAAAACTTTAATTGGGAAAAATCAATTTGATTGTAGTTTTGTGTATTGATGGTTATTTAGTAAAAAAAACAGACGGCTATTTGGCTAATTTGTAAATAACGATGAATTTCTGGTTGTAAAGATTTAAGTCTTTCTTTTCAGCCATTTTTTTCTGTGGAATACTTGTTAATTTTTACGAAAACTTTAAAGCTTTTTTGTTCAATTTTTCGTTTCTTTTTCGTTTATTCGTGTATCTTTCTTTGGGATATCTTAAAAAACTCAGATACTAGAGCTAGCGCAATTTACTTCTTCTTCTATCTTTTCTAACGTACCTGTCAATGAACTAGACGCTAAACGAGCAAAATCTGCAGCAAATATCATTACTGCTACTTAATAGACAAAATCTAGCTACAGCTGAATTGGACAACCATTTTTTTTAAATAAAGAGCTCAGTGATGAAACAAGGCAGTGTTCAGGAGCTTCAATCACTTACGGATAATAAGCAGCGTTCCGGAAACATCTTATTTTATAACTTCCTAAATGAAACAAAATTACCCTCAGACTTTTATAATATTCTCCTCTGTTTATCTCAGCTCTCTCACGTGTCATCGTTTCATAAATGTCTCGATTTTGAAAACTATTAACTGCCTCCAATGCTTAAACTAGAAACCAAAAGCTGAATAAAGCAAGTTCTGAAAAATCTTAGAAAGTACAAGCTTGAAAGTGAAAACTTGAATATAACTTGAAGAACACATTATCCTTTTCAATTCACTTAAATTCATAACCTGCTTTTAATAAGGTCGTTATAGAAACAATATCAGTGATCATGACAATCTTTTGCTACCGAAAGAATTGCATGAAAAACTCAGCCACAAAATTAACAGTTTTTAGGTCAAACTCATCAATTTTTATAAACCACTTTCAATGCTGTAAAGCCTTTAAGTTATTAACTAAATGACTGATGATACTTTACTGATCGTCAGAAATCTATTAATTATACATCATTATGATGTATGGTTAAGAGAGTTGGTGTTCATATATCAAGTTTGTATTATCATTTAATTTTGCTGCATTTTTATTTCTTAGACGGAGGTCATAAATAACTGATGCTTACAGTGTGCCGACCGGCAACGATGGAAATTTATAACAATATGGATTCCGCTAGCATTTGCTGTAAACGTCGTGCAAATTGCATCGCTGAGGTATTACGATGATCCAAGCGATCCACATTATCCAAATATGAGAAGGTGTTATCCGGCTGACAGCAAACTTCAGGTCTTTTTGAGCAAAAATATATTTTTTAGGCATTAAAGTTCGTCGAAAACCATTAAGTTTAACAATCCATTAAACAGTTTTGGCGAAGACGTTTGTTCAATTAGTACTTTGACATTATAATGATTAAGCTTTTTAAAGCAATTTCTAAAAATAGAGCGACGGAAAAAGAATTAAGCATATAAAAAATATATTTTCTTTAGATGATAATCGAAGTGTCTGACGCCATACTTTGTTACCTCTTACCATGCATTGCCGTTGTTGTATTAAATTTATGTGTTGCTAGAAAAGTGCGATCATCGAATCGCGGGTTTCGAGAGATAGCACGACGTAACGGTTCTCGTCGCTCTGGTGGACCACAGAATGAGCCAGGTATTCCTCGGTAAGTAATCTCCCAGCAGAAGGAAACGAGTAAATTCGTTTATTACGTAGGTCTGCACTGAAAAGACGATCAAAATAATCAATTTTCTCGTTTTTATCTAATTTTCTAGTCACACTCAGATACGTCAGTGTTTGGAAAACGTAATAGATTACCAATTTCCTCGTTAAAAGCGCTTTTTCAAAAAAGTCAAATAGTTTTGGTTAAAAACTGAGTGACATAACAAGAATGCTATTTTTGATAACTACTATATTTTATTAAAAGTTTTTAAGTTTCATTACAACATCAAACATCAAAATTGTTCAAATTTTTTCAACACTACAGTAGTCTAACAATGAAGTTTCAAAAATTAAACCAACCTCTGAGCAATAGCTTCAGATAGTGATCACTAAAATTTGCAAGTTTAGGATTTTACTAGTGGTTCCCGTTGTTTATGTGTTGCTCAACACGCCATTTTATCTGTTTCGAATAGCTGACGCTATTGCTGAAACCATATTTAAAAATATGGCTTTTTCAATAAAAGGGGGTATGGATTCATTTACCACAAATTTATATAACGCAGCTCATTACCTATATTATATCAATTTTGCATGTGATGTTGTCGTTTATGCATTTTCAAGGTGAGTAAGTTTTTTCAACCAAATTTAATAACTTTTTTTTTTTATTTTTGCAAACAAAATGTAACCTAAAAATGTAATATAATTTTTTTTTTTCAAAGACAGCATTATTTAGTTTGTTAGACATTTATTTTTCCAAAATGTTGATTAGGTTTGTTGCAATTTTTTTTGCACAATTTTAACACTAGCATGCAGCTTAATTTGATGACCAGAACAGAGAAGGTTCAACAGTTACAGTTAGCCTAAAAGTACACTGCAAGTTCAGTGTTTTGATCAAGGCACATTATTTTGACCAAAATATGTATAATACAACTTAATAGATTGTAAGAAAGAGTAAAAAAAAAAAAGTCGTAGATAGCAACAAATTGTAAATTAATAAGAAAAAAAAACCATGTTTTTGACTGCCTTTACAGATATGCTGTCGTCTGCTGGCAGTATTAAACACTAACATAGGCACTTTTGCAATTACATAAAAAACATAAAAATTTTAAGTTTTTTCTGCTGATGTAAAAGCAGTGCCGAGCAGAAACTAATAAAAATGCATTGTTTTTCGCTGATTTGCAATCGCCAAGCGGTAAATATTTTGCACAAACTTGTTTTTTTCTCTTTACATAATCTTAATTACTTTATAAACTTTTTCTTACTTTTATTTCAATAGGTATTTGTGTTTTTTTTTTCTAATTAATAGTTGTTTTCAACTTTTATATTTATATTAAAATAAAAGCTAAAAAAGAAAAGAGAGAGAAAGAAAAGAAGGTTTTAATAAATGTAAATAAGGATTTTTCAATAATCCTTTTTTTCTTCTCCTTCTTTATAAATTATTATCACTAAACATATGCAAATGAGTCATTTAGTTTGGCGATACAAATTGCTACAATATGATTTCAATTACAGTGTCAAATTTTCACATTACAAATTTCATCCGGCATTTCCATATCATTTTATCTACAAAATGTTGCAATATTACAATCCTTGTTTCTGTTTCTTTGAATACTCAAGTTAAAACTTAAAAATAAATGCAAAACTATTCTGAGTTAAAAAAATGAATAAAAACAAAACTGAAATAAGTAGTTGTCTAATGTAGAAAAAAACGGTATCGAATATCCTGCAGATCGTCTTCCCTACGAAAATTATTCCTCTCCCCGTTTCCCTTGAACCTTTTTCTCTCAAGTAGCTCAACAAAATCAAATAACTGCAATAGTTATTTCTATAGGATCACCAAAATAAATGTCATTTAGTTGTTTTATTTTCTTCTCCATCTTTTGCTTTTGCTTCTTTTTTTTTATTTTTCAAGCAAATTACACACCTATGCACGTCTTAGGAATAAAAAACAAAGCAATTGAGTAAAAATAATTAAACACTTTTAAGCATTTATTTTAATCAAGAAAAAAGCTTTTCTTTTATCTGAAGAATTGACTAACTCTTCTATTATTGTCTTTTTTTCATTTCTCAATAAGTTGTTGTACAGTCTTTTGCAAAATCAGAACTGTTTTTTTTTCTCAAGTAACAACAGCGGTGATAAAAACAACAAAAATATATGCAAATTAAAAAACTCTTTTTTGATCTTTATCTGTTTTTCCAACTGAACTACCTTTCAGATCAGACAGGTTGAAAAAAAAAAATGATTTACTTAACGTTTTTTTTTCTTTTTTTGTAACGTACTTACAAAGTATTATTTTAGCAAAAATTTCCGCAAATCAACGGTAAATGTATGGAAAAAATTGTTGATACCAACCAGATATCGTAAAAAACGTGATGACAAGTATCGTACAACATGTTATCAGCTAAGTTCGACTACAGAAAATCTTCGAAAAAGTTTTGGAGAATAAACACATCGACAAATATGACAGAATACTCAAACAGCATACAACAACGACACACAACAAATACAGCAGTTATATCCAATTGTACGCCAATTTGCTTGTTTTAATGTACGCAACTTATGTACAATAACTTCTTCCTTTTTTTTTTTTTTTTTTTTCACATAAACTTTCAGCCAAAAAAAAGCGATAATCACCGATAGCTAATAAAAAAATGAATGTTGTTTTGAAGATACGTGAATATGAAAAAAAAAAAAAAAAAAAAAAAAAAAA